CCACTTCTTCACCTTAACTTTAATACCCAGCCCTCTGCCGTTTTCTCCAGTGCTTCTCATGATATGTAAAACATAAACACTTGCTCTATTATATGCTTTAGAAATGTTAACCCCAATAGTCATCATAATAATCGCATGAAGGAGGTAGTATTGTTACCCACACTTCACAGCTGAGAATACTGAGGCCTCAGGAGACTGAGAAGTTGGTGAGAGCTGAGGCAGACTGGGTCCAGAGTCCGTGTTCCTGACCATGTGCTGAGCTGTCTCAAGGTTCCTGGAAATCCCATCCTTCAAGGACATCACCTCCACCCCGCCTCAGTCTCTCCCTCACAGGGTCCTAACCCAGGATTTGTAATCTACAGGCCACAATCTCTTCTCTGAAACTTTTAGGACTTCTGGAAATCAGAATTTTTTTTATTTAGAAAGGCACACCCATTACATATTTTGAATATATCAGTGAAGTATGTGAAGCACTTGTAATCGACACATTACTATCTCTGCATCAAAGCAGGACTATTCAGACAGAGCGGTAAGAACAAAACACTAGAAGTGACGTCATGTTGTACATGTCAGTGTTTGTCACCAAATTAATTAGACAACTTACAATGTTATAGCTTTTGGAATTTCACAATTTGGACTTGAAATTTGATTTTGGACTTTGAAATCCCTCCAATTTGTGTATCTGATCACCGACTCCTGCCTCTCAGGCTCACTTGCTCTACAAAGCCAACTGCAGGTACCTTTTCACCTCTCACCTGCTGAATGTCGTCACTTACCTTGTTACCCAGCCTCAATGCCTCACCAGTCATTCTAATCCTCCTTAGAAGAGAAGTTGAAGTTGGAGAAAAGATCATCCACTTGTTCTTATTATTTTTGTTAATGATTACTGTATCTATCTATCTATGTATCTATCATATTATATTATCGCTTACTAGAGTAAGTCAGTTCTCACCATAAGTAGCTCCCTTTCCTACCGTCCCCTTACTCACACAGCTCTCTATGGTGGGTACCATCACTCCCATATTAGAGATGAGTGATCGGAAGCTGGGAGAGGGTAGGTAAGCTGTCCCAGATTACATGGTCAGGGTTTGTCTTCAGCACTTTCTGATTCACCCCTTTGCAATGGTTCTCTGGGGACACTGCCCTCCTTTCTTAGGAGATGGGCTCTCCCTACAGCTTATCCCCAACACATCTGCTGTTGTTGTTTATCACTTTTGAAGAAATGACACAAAGAATAAAAATGAAACACAAATGGAAGGTAGTCATTACTCTTGGTAGCTTCCATTGCTCTTGAATACAGCACATAATTTATACTTACTGAGGAAGAGTTGGAGGATCTTAGAGATCTGCTGCAAAACAATAATAAACTACTTTAATAACATTGAGATGTAATTCCTAAGATACTTTAAGATGTTGCTCCTAAAACATGTGAACGCAGCTGCAATTTAGTTTCATTAGATAATAAAAAATATACCAGAGAAATGTACTCAAAAGATATTCTCCTAAAATAAAACAAGGAACCACAGAGACAAACCTAATTCAATGCTCAGATACGAATAGAGATGTGTACTGGTAACATCAATTCTAATATATTTATTTCATCACAAACATTAATGACAAATGACAAAGTTAATCTTCCATGCATACACACTGTCCGTTGTACATAAGGTTAGATTTTGTAAAAGTGTAGAGAAGTGTGCACATATATGGGGGTCATACGACATATACTGTTTTATAATCTGGGTCAGAGTTTTTTGGTTTTGTTTTGTTTTTAGTCAAAAATACATTGTGGTTTTTTTCCATGTCAATTTATAAACAACTTGTTAGCACTTTTTAATGGTGTCATAACGTTCCATGACACAGGTGGAGCATAAGGTAATTTATCCCACATTGTCTAGGTTTTTTCCAGTTCATAATTGGGTTCTACAGTGAATGTCCTGATCATGTTTGCTTCCTTCCTTGGCTCTTTTCTTAAGATTACTTGCTAGAAACAGAACCACAGAGTCAAGTGGCATGTATGATTTAAATTTATGTAAATATTTTAATTTCCCTCAGAAAGGAGAAACTAAATTATATTTTCCTGAGATGTATGTGAGCATGCTCAACTCTCACAAGAGTGCTCAATTTCCCACGCTCTAATTAATATTGGGTTTTATTGGTGCTTCTAATATTTGCCAATTTGTTGTATGAAGGTCCGTTACATTTTTATCAGCCATTTTTGGTTATTTGCACATTTGGCGTTTGAATGTATTTATTAGCCATTTGCATTTTCCTCCGTTAAATTGCCGAGCTGTTTGTTTAGTGGAATGTTTGTGTCTGTCTTACTGTTTCATAAAAAGCTTTTACATTTTTAAAGCTGCTAATCGTCTCTTCATCGTGTATGCTACCAATACTTTCTCCAAGTTTGTCTTTTGTTCCTTAACATGGCTTTGTTTTCTTTCAAATTTTAAACAATTAAACCCGAGTGCATGAATCTATATGGCTTTTCTGTTATGATTCCACCAATGAAAAATTATAAAACCTATATTTTCTATAATTTTTTTTTAAAGAGAAACGCTTTTTTATTTTTTTTGTGAGGAAGATTGGCTCTAATAGAGCTAACATTGGTTGCCAATCCTCCTCTTTTTGCTCAGGAAGATGGGCCCTGGGCTAACATCCATGACCATCTTCTTCCACTTTATATGTGGGACACCACCACAGCATGGCTTGATAAGCGGTGTGTGGGTCTGTGCCCAGGATCTGAACCTGTGAACCCGAGGCTGCCAAAGCGGAGCACGCGAACTTCACCACCACACCACCAGGCAGGCCCACGCTTCTTTATTTTTATTATTGTTTTTTCAGGGAAAGATTCACCCATTGCCAACTTCCGTTGCCAATCTTCCTCAATTTTTCTTCCTTTTTATTCTCCCTCTCTAAGCCCCAGTGCGTAGTTGTGTATAGTTGTAAGCTCTCCTAGTTCTTCTACGTGAGCCACCACCACAACATGGCTACTGACAGATGAGTGGTGTTGTTCTGCACCAGGGAACCGCACTGGGGCCACCGAAGCTGAGCGCGCCAAACTATAACCACTAGGCCATCAGGGCTGGCTCTCTATTTTCTCTAATTTTTTAACATCTGGAAGTAATTAGTTTTGATTTTGTGAAATACATGAAGCAAGATGTTTAACGATATTTTTCCAAAAAGCTATATGCCACATCAACATTTCTTGAATAATCCGTCCTTTTCCCATGACTTACAATACATTGTTATTTTTATCATGGTCAACATAGAAACTCTGGATAATGTTTATAGGAAAAAAAATGACAAAAATTGCCCTCCATCCAGGTGGGAAGGTAAAACAACGTCTCATGAAACAAGGAAACCATCACAGGAAAGGACAATCACTACTGTGGATATTGCAGCATTGGCTCATGGTTATTTCCACATTTACAAAATCTCCCCCAATTATAAAATGTGAGTCTTGTCCTGAGTATGTGACTCAGAGACCTCTCAGGACTCCAGAAAGACTGGACCCCAAGAAACAAGCTGCTGAGATGAGAGCAAAGTTAACCGCGTCCAGAGAGAGACGGGGACACAGGACTTTCCCAGGAGCAGGGAACAGGAAACCTCTGACAGGGACAGAGAGGAACCTCGAAAGGCAGCCAGGAAGAGGAGAACAACAACTGACAGAGCAGGGGAGTGCCCAGATTTGAGGAAACTAGAAAATATGAACTTTGGGTCAACTGTTATTTAGGAAATACATTTCTATCAAATGCTTCAAGATGTTCACCTCGCTAGGAAAGTAAAGCATAAGGTTGTGCTGCTGAAACCGAGGTTCCATTTCTCCTCCCCAATGTGGTAGATGATTTTCATGCAATATATTTCATGTCACAGTTATTGGGAAATTCCCAATATGTCACCAAATTCCTCAGTTTGATAATTAGGCCTCTTTGAGAGTAAATTTATGGTTGATGAACTGTTTTTTACTACTTGGCCAATTATGTTAAGTTTTATTGCTCTCCTAAACCAGGAGTAAAATAAAGCATAAATTAAAGGATTCGGAGCAGAATTATAACAATCGACCAGCAAAATATCTCATAAACATACAAAGGTGTTAAAAAACCACAAAAAGAGTCAATGAAGGAATCAGTCATATAGGTAAGCATGAGGTTAAAAATGCCACCACGGTGATGCCCAGGGTTTTAGTTTCTTTTCTCTCTCTCTTTGCCACCCTGGTCTTGCAAGTCCCTCATAATGATTCTATCGTCTACTAGTATTTTCAAACTTTTTAATAATTTTCTAGCCACAAGAAAGTTATTACTGTTAGAATCATCTTAAGAAAGCTAGATGTGGAAAATAATAGAAATACTCTCAATGTCCAAAATTGATTTACAACAAGCGGACAAGACCTATGCAGTTGAGGGCATTTACTAATCCCTCCATCCCATCCACACGGGCACCATGTAGAACACAGCACCGCTGTAGCAAGGGACAGGATCCGGGAGAGGCTGACGCACACCCCCGACACGGGCACCATGCAGACATCGCACGTAACAGATTTAACTGCTACCAGAAAGTTTCCTTTGGGAAGACAGCAAAGCAAAAAATAGCAGCATCCCGGTGAAAGCTAATCACAGAGAAATTTTTGACAAGTTGGGAGTGAGTAGAAAACCTTGTAAGGAAATGAGGAAAGAAAATGAAAGGAAACAAAGATCTTTTCAGGTTACAAAAGGAGGAGACAATGGAGCAGAAGAGACAAGAGAGAAGGGGAGGGTCTACAGGGTGGGGGGTGTGCTGAGCTCCACAGCAGCTAACAAACCTGGATTCAACATCGATTAGTCAAATGTCTTTGGAGAATTGACCGGCAAGTGCACATCCTAACAAGACTGAAAAACATTGATTTATGCTTTTAAATTCAAAGGGCCATTTGTTTTCTCTTCATTAGTTGTCTTACTTGACTTAAAAAAACTCATTCCCTTTGGAAGATGTAAAGCTATCTTCAGCTTCTTCAACACAATCGCTCACCTCTGTTCAGGGAACAGATTCATGTCTGCAGAACTGTCCTGGAAAACCCGACCACTCACAACCACTTTTATGGCTTTCCTAAACCACGGGTAAAATAAGGCATAAATCAGAGGGTTCACGGCTGAGTTATAATAAGCCCCCCAACAGCAAATCTCATAAATATAGGCCGGGGTTATGAAGCCCATGAAGGCATCAATTAGTGCGTCAATACTGTATGGTAACCAGGAAATCATAAATGCCACCACCGTGATACCCAGGGTTTTAGCTGCTTTTCTCTTTCTCTTGGCCACTCTGGATTTGTAACTCTCTGAGGATGATTCTGTTTTGTCACCAGTATTTTCAATCCTTTTAGCCTGTTGTCTAGCCACAAGAAAAGTATTACTATAGAGAATTAGCATAACAAGGGTAGGAATAAAGAAGGACAGAAAATCTATCAACACCCAGTTTTGATTTACAACCGTCTGACAGCCTCCTACACAGTGGACGGCACTGGATAATTCCTCCAGCCCGTCATCATAGGCACCCGTGTAGAACACAGCGCCGCTGTAGACAAGGGGCAGGATCCAGGAGAGGCTGATGCAGATCCCCGACACAGACCCCGTGAACCTGGTGGGATAGACCAGAGGGTCGGTGACAGCGATGTACCTGTCGATGGAGATGAAGCACAAGTGGAAGAGAGAAGAGTAACAAAATGCCGCATCACAGCAGCTGTGGAGAGTACAGAAGCTTCGCCCAGCAGCTCTCCACCGACCTGACCACGCTGGAGGGCATCGCGGTCACCCCCACCAGGAAGTCAGCGCCGGCCGGAGAGGCGGGAGAAAGTTGGCTGGAGAGTGCGGCTGCTTGAAGTGGAGGATGGAAATCATCACCAGGAGGTTTCCCAACACGGCCAGCCCAGCGCCCAAGCCGAAGACCGTGTACAGGAGCCGGGGTCCGGGCGAGTAGGGAGATCTCACACGGGATCCGGTCACCTTCTCGTAGCAGAGCTGGTCCGCTGCAGGGGGGGGACGGGTGGCCACTCACGACGCTGCTGTGAACAGCAGGCAAACACTGGGAAAAGTTCTGCCCTTTGTCAATCACACAAAGTAGAGCACTTTTATATTCCTGAAAGGAGAGATAGGATCTTTTAAAACTGAATATCCATGTTATGGTTACCAGATGTTACCTCCGTGGCCTGTCGCATGTCCATTTTAATTTTAGGCTCTGAACATATGAAATAATCATATATTCAATTTAAGTGCTCAACAAATCTTAACTATTATTAATTATTACCATTTTTATTCTTATTCTTTAGAATATAATTGGAAACAATTTTCTAAATCCAATAAGAATTTAACTTCAAGTAAATCTGTGCTTGACACAAAGATTTCTAGCCTTGAAATTTATCAAACATCTTTTTTAACCTGGTCTGGATACAGAGGATCTTCCTCTTTGTCAAAGTTAGTGAGATGTATTGACTTGTTATATTAGTTACCTTTACTACCCACCCCTCCCACCTGGGGCAAGACTGTCCGAGGAGTTAATGACAAACCCCCAGGAAGCACAGCCAAACCCCATATCCAAAGTCACCTACGGTGGATCCCTGTAATGCAAGATGTGAACAGTGAGAAAAAACTTATATTTAATAATCTCCACCAGAGGCCGGAGCCGTGGCTTAGCAGTTAAGTGCGCGCGCTCTGTTGCTGGCGGCCCTGGTTGGGATCCTGGGCGCGCACCGACGCACAGCTTGTCCGGCCATGCTGAGGCGGCGTCCCACATACAGCAACTAGAAGGATGGGCAACTATGACATATAACTATCTACTGGGGCTTTGGGGAGAAAAAGGGGAAAAAAAAAAAAAAGAAGAGGATTGGCATGGATGTTAGCTCAGGGCTGATCTTCCTAAAAAAAATAAAAGAATCTACACGTTTTAAAAAATAATAATAAAAATCTCCACTTAAAATTTATATTTATATGTAAATAGCCTGTCTACCCCAGCAGGGCCATATGAAAAACAACAATGAGAGGACACTCCTACCCATGAACAAAGATGCAAAACTCCTAAGCAAATATTTTACAAACCATTCCCAGCAATACATAAAGAGACGACACATCATGACTGGAATCTGTGCAAAGAGTGGAAGTTGCTTTAACATTAGAAAATCAAATAATATAATTCACCTTTTTAACAGATTCAAATTTATAATCATCTGAGGAATGCAAAAAAGCATTTGATAAAATTCAACATTTATTCCTTACTTTAGCAAAGTAAAACTTCAAGATATCTTTTGTACATATCGATGTCTCTGCTAAAAGGCCCCATCACACATGATATACCTAATGGTGAAATTTGAGAGCATTCTCTTTAAGATGAGTATCAAGGCAAAGATGCTTCAGTAATCAGAAGATTCAGGTGGTATAAGTCTTCTGAAGACGTCCATAAATCCACTGGCAGTCCAATATCATGTATCCAACATTTATATTCGTTTATTTATTAAGCATCTATTTGTATCAGGGTCTTGAAGATAAAAAAAATAAACAAGAAACATCTCTTGCCCTTGGGGGTGGAGGTCTCCGTGTGATATGAGAGAGAGACATATACAGTAGTAGCAATACAATATGCTTCCAGCCAGAATTAACACATGTAAACAGTATAAAGTGAGAAATGACACAGGGACAACTAATAAAATTGGATGAATGAAAAGAATTCACTAAGGATATAAATGTAGTGCCAGGTTTAGAATGATGAATGGAAGATTTTGAGGTAAATAACAGGGAAAAGTTTCAAAACTGTGCACAGCTTTTTACATCCCAATAATCATTTTAGATTTTATCTTATAATTAGTGCATGGGTGTAGAGAAAACCTACTTATTAGTAGGTAAAAATCTCAATTACCACAAATTCATGTGGGTCAGAATGCACTTTGCTTGTTTTTCTGTAACTGATCCTTAATTCTCTTATAAGCCCCTATCTTATGGGGTGCAATAAATTTAAGCTCAGTCAATTTGGAGTCCCCACTCTTTCTCCCAGGGTTGAGTCTAAATTCCAGGGTGCTGTGTAGTCTGCCTAGCTTCCACATGAGTAGATTGGGATTGTCTCTGTAGTTTCCATCTAGTATGAAATGGCCAACCTTCTCATAATGGAAAAAGGATGATCACATGACCCTCAGCTCAGAACAATAAGCTGACAATATCCCCTCCGGGTCTTGGAAGGACTATGAATCTGGTGGTCTCTTCTGCACGTGCTCCAGACCATCCACGTGTTGCTCATTCATTGGCACGCTGCTTTGGCTTTTTCCGATTTCAGAGCCAATGTACTGTCATCAGTCTTCCCTCTACCACCAGGAAAAGTTTCCACTTTTATAGAGATTTAGAGACTAATTATGGGCTCTTAGTTTTCTACTTTTCAAGCCCCTTCCTTTTTGATGTCTTTTTGGTGTCTTCAGCTAAGACTCAGAGATTTCAATGAAGTCAAATTGCACTTATAAGTTTTCTTTCTACTTTACCTCCCTCCTTCCACCCCTCCCTCACCCCTAAGCTCCTCTGTGTCTGTCCAGGAAACTGGAACATTCTGAAGTAGAAAATTTCACAGTGTCTCATTACAGTCACCTGACATTGATGACCCCAACATAACTTCAGATCGCCTTCCTTACACCTTCACACCAATTTTCTTGGAATTTTGGTCATAGCTCTTACATGATGGCTTTAATCAGTCTATGGTACAGATATGTGCCTCCTACAACATGAGAGAAATTCCAGAAAGACCCACAAGTATCTGCTATGCATCATGGAGCACAGATTCAGGTGTGCGAAACTTGTCACTTTATTTTAATGTAACCATCACTATATAGTAGCAAATAGGTTCAGAACACCTAGTCTAACTAGGTGGTTTACATGTGTTAAATCATTAAATTGTCACATGCAAAAAAGTCACATGCAATGAAGATGGCACTATTATGATCCCTATTTTACAGATGAGGGACTGAAGCACTGAGAAGTTAATAATTTTCCCGGGGTTACACTTCTAGTAAATGATGGACTTGGGGATTTGCATCCAAGCAACTTAGCTCCAGATTCTGTGTTCTGAGCCTAGTGCTCTGTGCCCGTAGATGAACCTAATTTCTGAGCCAAGCCTCCTCCCCTCCAGGAGATGGAAACTTCATCTCAGTCTATCTGGGTTTTCTCTTCCCTCTAAGTTAACAGGCATCAACCCTCACTCTGTGGAGTGGAGATCTGGTCTGCATGAACATCCCCCTTCACTGATGTCCAATGAGATGTCCTATCTGCTCTCTAGAAGCTGGTCCAGTTGTGTCACAGAGCAGCCATCCCTTGTTGCTGGCAGTAAGGCTCCTTTACCTTAGGCTCCCTGTCGGCCGATTCCAGTGCCCTTCTCAGAAGAATGGGATCATTCAGCTATGCTCGTGGCACAAAGGGCCATGGGACTTTTGGTGGGAATGTCTAGGACTTGTCCTGACTCCATGCTCCCCTTGGGGGCTCAGGACTCTTTCACTGTCCCTGTACTGTGGCGGAGCAGTGAGGTGCTCTGTGAGGCTGTCTCAGGCCACACACTGAGACAACCTTTAGCCATTTCTGCCCTGTGATTTAATACTCACTGAGTCCTGCCCAGGAAATGGAGAAGGAGTTCCCCCTGCACTTGCATCTTCCTGCTTCAAAGCTGTCTGACTGTATTGGTTTGTGGTGGCTGCTGTAACAAATCACCACACGTTGGTGGCATCAAATAACAGAAATTACTCCCTTACAGTCTGGGGGCCAGAAGTATGGAATCCAAAGTCAAGGTGCGAGCAGGGCTACACTCACTCTGGAGGGTCCGAGGGAGAATCTGTCCTTCCCTCTTCCAGCTTCTGTTGGCTGCCCACATTCTTTGGCTTGCGGCCTCCTCACTCCAATCTCTACCTCTGAGATCATGGCACCTCCTCCTCTCCATGTGTTATCTCCCTGTGCCTCTTTCTTATAAGGACACTGGGGATGGCATGTAGGGCCCACTGGATAATCCAGGAGAATTTTTCCATCTCAAATTTTTTTAACTTAGTCACATTTGCAAAGACCATTTTTCCAAAATACTAGCATTTATAGGTTCCAGGGATTAGGATGTGGATCTTTTTTGTGGGGCTATTATTCAACCAGCCAAATTATTACCCCTTCTCTCAACCGAGACCATATCCAGGGAGGGAAGGGTGCTCCTCCCTCAGATACTCTCACTATTTTCTCAGTTATTTGGTTTTATTGGAGGGAAGGGAAGGTTAATTTTAGCTACAGCAGCACACACACACACACACGAAATATCTGGTCCTATAGACACCTGACTAACTCCAGCATCAGAGCCTGGTCTGTCTCTGAGATCTGTGATGTGCTTATAATTCAATCCGAAAGCCTGATTCCTATTGTATTTAGAATCAAATTCTAATAATACGGCCTGTGAGGTCTCACATAGTCTTAACTCTGTAAAACTCGCTGACCCCCGGTTCATTATGCTCCAAACATTTTCTCACTCTCAACCCTTCATCTACCCAACAGGATGCCTCAGGAGCTTTGCACAGGCTCTCTTCCATCTGCATCACTTTCCTCAGATCTTCACAGACCTGGCTCCTTGTCATCCTTCAGACCTCAGCTTTTACGTCACTACCTCAGAAAAATCACTGTCTCAGCTAATGTGGGTATCCCTGTTTTATCCTTTTATTTACCTACTCTTAATTGAACTTATCAGAATTTGTTATAATCTTATTTGTCGGTTTATTGGCTTGCATTTGTCTGTCTGTCTCTCCCAATGTCATGTAAGCTCCATGAGGTGAGATACTTCCTTAAGTACCACTGTGAGTAAACCAGACAGTCGTTGCTGTTGTTTTGTTTCTTTGTTCCTGTGTTGTTGTTTTGTTTCAGACAGTTGAGTGAATAAATGAGTGGATAAATACAATAGATACCCATGCCCCAGCCTTGGGAGAATGCATGTAAATGCTTTTTTTTTGAAAGAATAGTTGGCCCTGTCTAAAGACCATTGTTGAATGAGCCGTTAAATCTTTGACCATTTGGTGTTCAGCAAGGTTTGTCATCCTTAGGACCCAATCAATAAAGACCACAGAACATTGTTTCAAGAGACTCACTCTCTGAAATAAAAAAACCTCTCTAAAGAGCTTATGGGAAAATATTTGAGGGCTGAACCTTTCATGAGTGTATTTTCATCACAATTAAACATTATCTTTGCTTGTTAACGTTTTCAGAGAAACTTCTAAAATGGTTACCATTATGCCCTCTTACCGGGGAGGTTGTGGAAGCCTGGACAGGTCCAGCAGCAGGTCCAGAGCACGGTGCTGGTGAGGGGCATGTTGGGATTTGGAGCCGGGTCCGTCTAACTCTGAAGGTCGTGTTTGTACCTGCTGTGTTACCCCCTTCAAAGCAGCCTGAGGGAGTGGATGGGCCTTAGGAATCTGGGTTCTAGGTTCTGGCTCTGCCACTCACAGTTCCTGGGACTTTGGACAAGTTAGTTCACTTTGGTGGCCCCCAGTGTGAAATGATAGGACTCAAATCGATGGCCCGTGAAGTTCCTGCAGTTCTAGTAATGCTAATCCAAAGTGCATGGGAGTAACATGCAGGGCTTTTTCTGTGTGCCCACAGTGAGAATTCTGGTATCCCAAGGCAAGTTTTGGGGAGCCTATTGTGATGATAACCCAAGTTACTTGAAAGATAGTCAAGTTGACTTTGGGACTGAAAATCACAGCCTTAATCATCAGAGTTAAGACTGAAACAAACAAACAAGAACACAACAAAACAAAAAGAGGAAAAAGGTTACCCTAAGAACTGTCAGAGGAAGAAATAATGGAGAATGTGCTCCAAGAAGGCAGAAAATTCACCCGAAAGCGTGGACGGGTGAAAGATCCAGGAGGCCATGGAGAGAATGGTTCAAGAATATCTAGAAGGACCAGAATATAACAGACAGTGGAGGTGTACAAAGAACTCTTCTATCCCTTCAGAGTTTAGTATATAAACTTGAAAATGCCACTATCAAAGGAGAGTAAAAGAGGAACCAGCTGATCTAAGGTAGCTGGAGTGAGCTGTCACACTCTGCGGGGGTGACTCAGTCAGCATGAAGTGGAGCAGTTTGAAAATTAGGGTAGAGAAGGAGAGTAGAGAGGGCTGTAGTAGGGTTAGAAATCCATGTCAGAGGCCCCGGTGGCCAACGCCAACGCCAAGGCAGAAGTAGAACATGAGCTACCTGGATCCATGGAAAACAATGGTGGTGGGACCTGGGGAGTTTTTACCTCCTAATGCCTTTTCCTAAAATAAAGGAACACACGGATATAGGCCCTGGATTATATTGGGGGGAAGGCAAACCAATGAAATGAAGCCCCATTACTAAACTGTGTGGTGAATGAGAATCAACACTCTATAACCGTTATTTCAGCTGCCGATTGTTCCTGAGGCTGGTGTTATCCAGGAAACGGGGCTTACACACTTGACCACTGAAATGCCTCCCTGCTCGAATTTCTGATTTCTTTAATGTTGGTTAGCAGGCGTGCTGTGCTTTCAGGCTAAACCCACCTTGTTTCAATCTAGAATTGAAAATATGTAATTGGAAGTCAAGGAAATTCCATCATTATTCAGTCAAGGGCATATGGAGATGTGGCCTTAGTACAGCCTTTAATGTTGTTGATAGTGAAACCGTAAGATCTTGGATTAAATAGAAGAGAAGGGAATCCTAAGTGCCTGTGGTAGACAGAACAATAGCCTCCCAAAATGTCCTTGTCATAATTCTCAGAACCTATGAATATGTTACCTTACCTGGCAAGGGGACTTTGCTGATGTGATCTTCAGATGGGGAGATTATCCTGGATCATCTACATGGGCTCAGTGTAATCACAGGGTCCTTATGAGGGAAGAAGGGAGGGAGGAGAGTCAGTCAGAGGAGAGGTGACGGTGGGGGCAGAGGTCAGAGTGATGCAGCCGCAAGCCCAGGAATCCGGGCAGCCTCTAGAAGCTTGAAAAGATGAGGAACGGATTCCCACCTTGACCCTCTAGAAGAAACACAGCCCTGCTGACACCTTTATTTTAACCCTATAAAACCCCTTTCAGACTTCTGACTTCCAGAACTGCTTGAGAATAAATTTGTTCCATTTTAAAACCACTAAGTTTGTGGTAATTTGTTACTGCAGCAATAGGAAATGAATACAGTGCCTTTGCTACAATCCCTCTTTTAGCTAGGATGGCATTAAAGTCTATCCAGCTTCCATCCCTGACATGCTGAGATTTCTGGAATCCTTAATGGGTCTGTCACTACCACCCTCTCCTGGATATCAAGAAAGTGAATATCAGATTCACAAATTACCCTGAGCCCAGAACAGAATACATAGAGAGAGATAAATCACAATACTGTATCTCAAAGTAGTATACTTTGAGTTTCTGAAAAGACTAGAAGAATATATAAAATGTTGACACCAGTTTTCCCTAGAAAGTGGGAGTTAGAGAGATTTTTTTTCTTTTTCTGTGCTTCTTGGTATTTTCCAAATTTTCTGTAATGAACGGTATTATTTTTATAATTGGAAAGAACTTATTTTTAAAAAGAAAAATAAAAAGTAAAGAGACATGCTGTCTGTATTGCCTCAAGTACATTAAATTACCCAGCTCCGTACACAGTAACCATGTCCCAAAGGACCCAACCTAGAGGATCTTCAAATTTTGCTCCTGGAAGTGGCAGGTTGGTGTCGTAGAAGGCACATCGGCACTGTGGGAGGGCAGGGATGATTCAGCTCTCAGCTCTGTTCTCTGCTAACTTTGGGACCTAGGCCAATATTCTTAACCTAGCTGAAACCTGTCTCTCTGCAGAGATTTTCTAAGTATTCAAGTTCTGTAAAGGTAGATTTTTTAAAATAGTAGCTATTAATTTTATACTGTTCCTTCTGTTTAAAATGCATTTCCTTACCTTTTCTACCTGTTGAGAAGCTACACGTTTTTAAAGCTCAGCTCAAATGCCACTTCCTCTTGGTGATTGTGATGATGTTTGTGATTGCCACGATGTACAGAGCACTGACTATGTGCCAGGGGCTATGACAATCACTTCATTTGCAAGATTATCTCACGTCATCTTCAGGACACTGAGGGACAGGTATATTACCTCCATTGTACAGGTGAGAAAACTGAGGCGCAGGAGGTAAATCACTTGCCCAAGGTGACATGACATGATGGGTCAAATCTGAATTCGGTGAGGCCCTTCTGACGCTTCAGCCCTGACTTTTGAACACTGATCCCTCCAGATAAGTGGTGGCTCCCTCCTCTGAGTTCTATAGCTCTTTGTTGTAACTGCATTGGGAACTGATTTTTATTCTGCTTTGTTTGTTCTTATTTGTAGGTGTTTTTGTGCCTTTGGACTAGTAGTCTTTTGAGTGCAATGATGACATTTCAGGAATTTTGGATCCAACAGAGTTTAGTATCTCCACGTAGCATAGGTTCTCAAGAAACGTTAGTTGGCAGAATAAAATATCACATCTGAGGTACCTGAAGTGATGCTGCACTCTCCTGAGAGAGGTGGGTCAGGGCGACACGCTTGGGACCTTCAGCAGCACATGTCAGGCCCTGGGAACAATCCTGGGCTCTCTGTTCAGGACCCACATCCATGGCGGGAGTCTCAGCTCTCCTCAGCAGGAAGAATTTAATTGGCACACAGAAAATATTTGTCTTTAGGCAAGCTTGACCCGTGACTCCAAACTATTCCAGGAGGACTGGTGTTGCACCTCGTAAGACACTTAGCTGAGGTCAAATGTGGAAATGGAGAAAGATCGCTTTCAAGACTGGCAGACACTTCACTGTCGAGTTCAGAGTGGGACAGAGTGAGGGCAGCATGAGACAGTCACTGGAATTTTGCGTATATGAGACAGTTTTCCAGCATAACAAATTTTCAGTGGCTTACAACACCAAACATTTGCTTTTTGCTCATGTTACAGGAGGGCTGCAGGGTGTGAGCAGCTCTGCTCTCAACTGCAGGTCAGCCACCGGTCTGCTGTTTGTGTCTTCTCATTCTGGGGCCCAGGCTGAAGGGGCAGGTCCTATTGACACAATGTGTCCTCATGGCAGAGGGCAGAATTTCAAGATCTGGGCTGGACCACGCAATTACATGTAAGCTTCCGTTTGAACATGACAAGGGCCCCATGGGTCCATATTGCATTGACCAAAACAAGTCACGTGGCCAAGCCCAACATCAGTGGGTCTGGGACATTTGCTCCTTCCAGTGGAGTAGGGAGCAGGGGAGACGACAGTGAGAAAGGAGCATACAGTAGAGATGGGACGTGTAGAAGACCAAATCTCAGTGGCATCATGTGATGAGTTCCAAAGGCCAGGACTGAGGATGTGAAGCCCTCCTCTTTGATTATCAAAGCCTTCCCCACAGTGCCAACTTTACAGCCACCTGTTGCAGAGAAAGGCTGTGCAAACTGCAAGGCCCTTTGCAAGAGAGGGGCCTGATTCTCTCACACACTTCGTGGGCCACCATTAGTGTGACCTCTTGCTGTGGAAACTGTCCTGCTCAAAATCCTCGTCCATATATATGGCATACAAGTCATGTGTTTATACTCATACACATATACACATATGTATTGCCGTGTATTATATATTCACACATGCTGGGGTGAGCTGTAACCTGGTTTAACTAAGTTGTAAGAAAACAATATAATTAAGTTGAGAGAGATTTAGAGAGAAAAAATAATGGTCAGTTTCATAAAAAACAAGAAAGACCCATCCTGGAATTTGAAACCACACTGGTATGTTTTGTGGAACAGGAAGTTTAAACAAAGACAAAAAAATTCTAAGCTAGTACAAAAACATCAGGAAATTGTTGTGCTTGTTGAGCTATTTCTGAGGGGAATGCTCCTGGTGGAGGCGAGCGTGTGACAGCCTGCAGGCTATCAGCGGTTATTGGTGACATCTGATGACACTGCTTTCTGCCCACCTTTGATCACAAAGCTGTCATGCTCAGAAGAGCGGCCTGGTGTTCACATTTAAAGGGGATTCTTTAGCCAGGTGTCCATGAACTTATAAAGTATTATGTCTTTATAGTCACTAATATCACCTTGAATTTAGCATTTCCTTCCGTTTCGAATGTAGGCAAAAACCACAGTAATATTAGCATTACCTCTGATTTCTGCCACCAGGAGAAATCGCTATTTTTGTACTGCAGTGTACTTGTTGCAGATATCGTGAGATTTCATTTATGCTCATCACTACTTTGAAATTAGTTATTGCACCTGCCTCAGATCTTGTTATTCATAAAGAAGCACATATATGATTACATTACATAATCACAAACTTGGCTATTTAAAAGATATTTTAATAGCTGTA